AACAACGGTATCAATTGGACCCAGCGACCTCTGGAATCAGATTAAAATCGGGATTTTTCAGAAAATGAGAAGTAGCAGAGGCAAGACCCAAGGGAAAAGGCAGAGCAGTGGGCAGATGAGGCTGTATCTGATCACAAAGCCAGGTACCTTCTCTTCCCACAGTCAGTCAGTTAACCTTCAAGTCCTGATTTATCGGCATTCAGAGGAGAGATGGGATGGGCCTATGCCAAGAAAATCTCATCTGTCTGGAATCTGAAAGGAAGGGGAAAAAAAGTTTGAAAATTTCAGAGGAAGCTGGGATTTGTCCCAGTTCCAGTGTCTCTGTGTTCACTCAGACAGCTCACTGAATAATAGTGGCAAATGTTTTTCCATCAGCCAAGAGCCCTGAGTTTGGTCCCAGGTCAGTGGGATGTGCAGGGCAGCCCATGACCCTGAACAGCAGGAGCCTTCAGCAGGTTCCCCCATGCCTTTTGCAGGATCTCTTAAATCAACATCTTTCTTTTCTCTGTGGGCTTTAGAGAAGGATTACAGAAGAGTTACTCTGTTATCAAGTCCAAGGCACTTTATCACACTTCAGCAGCTAAATAGGACATGAAAATAAAATCATTCAATACTGGCTTAGGAAAAAAAAAAAATAATTGTTTTTTTTTTCTTCCCTAATTAGGACTCTGCTTCTCCACTCTTGCTAACTTCATGCCCTGTTTTTGACTGCACAAGATGCAGCCATTCATGTGCCCAGTGAAACCAGCAGCTGACCACAAACTCTGGGCCTGCCCTTTTGCCCTCCAATACCAAGAGGTACTTCAACAAGCTTGTAGAGGAGTCAGAGTCTTACAATTAATCCTGAAAATGTCTTATTTCAGGAAATACACTGAAACCAACTACAAAGGGCTATCCCATGTTGTGTCACAGAAAAACTGGTACGTGCAAGACCAACAATGATCACGAGCTGTAAAACCACAGGGATGCTGTTCAAACTACTCCATCTGCTGCTCAAGATTCTTCCAGACATCACTGTCAGTTTTAACCTTAATGCATTCTGTAAATGTCTGGAAATATGTGATCTATTGAGTCTGCAATCATTGGAAATCAGCCTGGTGTGTGTAGTGCTTTCCTAAAAGACCAGAAAGGGTGTGGGGTTATGCTGTATAAGTGCAGGGATGACTGACAATGCAAAAAGCAGCCTACACAGAATCATCTCTGCTCCATCTCAGAGACTTCTTCTGAAGGCACATGAAGAAAGAGCAGAAGAATATTGGACTGAGTCATCCCCTGTCCTCAGTGGAAGCCCAGAGAGCTCCAGTTCCAGCACAGGACACACTAGGAATGTACCTTTTTTCCTTATAAATCTTTCTGACTCGCTCTCATCTGTGAGGTTGTCGGTGGTGATCACTGCATTTGGCAGAGCTCTTGGCTACCTGCAGTTCAACTCCCAGCCAAGCAGACTGCAATAACACAGGATATTTATTCAGCTGTGCCCCTCCTGTGTATCCTGGGGAGAAAAGGTATGTTCTGGCCTCTTTAATCACTTCATTCTTTGCTGGAGTAAACAAGAGGAGCCACAGGGGGTTGTCTTTGCTTGCGAGGTTCTGCTGGGCCCGGGGTTTGCTGCAGGAGACACCTTCACTAACAGAGCACAAAGGAGGGGGAGATGAGCTGGGGTGAGTGCAGATGGTAGGAGGAATGCAAAAAAAAAAAGGGTTGAACAAAGGTCCCAACAATTCCTTTCCATCCCCACCAACAGACCAAGCAGCATCTTAACTGATACACCCGAGGTGGGACATGAAAGGGATTAAAAAGGATGTGAATCAGTGGAGTGAAAGCTCAAAGCAACCCAGTGCTCTGCTGTGTTCCCAATGGTACACACACAGCTTTGCCAGGCCCTCTGCTCCAGCACCTCAGCAGCTTTCAGAAGGAACCATTGCAGCCTCTGATAAAAACAAGTGCTCTGAACAGGCAGCAGAGTTCCCTAAGACGTGTCTGGCCAATACATCACCATGAATTTACACTGAAAACTCTGACAAACACAAGTAATTGGTAGGTGCTTTAAAATATTGTCAGAGCCGGCTGGGAAATTATTGGTTGGGTTTTTTTTTTTCCTTTTTCTTGGGAACAAGTCCTAAAACGCTCCAACACTGACAATTATTGCAAGGAATAACTCTGAGAACTTCTCAGCTGAGCCGGAACTCTCCCGCCGCATTCCCGGTGCTCCCTCCACATTCCCACCGCATTCCCACCGCATTCCCGTCCGGACCATCCTCCCTGCCCGCTTCGCCCCCTGCTGGGTCTCGCCGGGGACGCCCTTTCTGGCACGGCGGCAGCGGGAGGGTTAAAAGTCTGCTCCGAGTTTTGTGGCTTCTTTCCAAAAGGTTTCAGTTAACACCGAAGGTCTCCTTAAAGCTCCCTCGCTTTAATAGATTTTTTCCCATCGAGTTCTCACTTTATAGACTATCATTTCCTCTTCTGCAGGGGAGCTATTTTCTGGGTCACCGATCCAACCAACTTAAAAGGGGTTTCATTGATCGGATTTTATTGGTGGTTACTTCAACCATAATGTCACAAGTTGCTCGTGCCTGTGAGCAGCTGTGGGTCTTGCTTTGGTACCCTGTACCCTGTACATCTGCAAGTGAAGTCGGGTTTCTCTCTCCTGCCTTGATTGAGTGCTTGCTAATTACTAGAGTATTCTTTATATGGAAGTGATTTGTGACTTACAACTTCTAGAATAATTTCCTTCCCTCTAAACACAGTCGCTTTCCTGGCCAGAAAATACATGCTCCTCCTTGTGCTAAGCAGAGTGCAATGTGCTTAAAAGAAAGGATAGCATTTTCTCCCATCTTCCTTCAGAAAACATCTGACCAACAGCCCAGGAGGGTTTGCAGATTTGTGAGTACTCTCAGAAAGGAACAGGGTGTCAGTGGCAGGGTTGGTACCAAACTGCATGGCTGGCACTGCCAGTGCCAGTGGAGCAACCTCTCTGCTTCTCCTGTTTCCAGAATCCAATTCTGAAGCACTTTTTGCTTCCTGCATCACCGTCAAGAGGAGCACCAAAGGTGATCTTGCAGCATCAAGCATTGGAAGATAAAATACAGAGAAATTCCCTGTCATTCTCTTCATGTCCCTTCACAGGACACAAGGAAAATTAATCCCCTTTTCCCTCGAAGACGTGGCCCTTTCTCTGCACTTCATCTCCATACATCCTGTGCAGAGATTTCTCTATTTGCTCTTACAACTGCCCTGGTACATTATAGCAACATGACCATCAATTAACAGCACACTCTATCACAATAAAGAAGCCACCCAACCTTATATAACTCTTTTTAATTGTTTTTTTACATTATAGCGTTTTGCTAAACTTATTCTGCCATAATTCACGTAATTTAATTTCTCAAAGTGCTAATAATTTAATTACTTCCTTCCTGCAGACAGAGTGCCTGAACTGCCTTCCCTCATTCAGAACATTATAAAAAGTGGCTGCCATGAATACTTAAAAGGGGTATTTTATTCACAAGACCTTACACCAAATCACTCCCTCCAGAGCCTGTGTTGTGTTTCAGGCAGCCACAAGGTGCAAGGAACTTCCTTGCATCCTGGGACTATCTTCACTAGAATAGATGTGAACAGGCTGGAAAGGATCCAGAGAAGGGCCACAGAGATGATCCAAGACCTAGAAGGCTGCCTTTTGAGGAGAAGAGATGGATCCCCACCTTGCTAAAACCTCCTTTTGGGCACTTGTAGGGAGCAAGAAGGTCCCCCCTGAGCCTCCTTTTTTTCAGGATGAGCCCCCCCAGCTCCCTCAGCTGCTCCTCAGCAGACTTTTGCTCAGAGTCTTTAGTCCCTCTCCAGTGTGACCGAGTTTCCAGTAACAAAATTTCCATTATCTCTTAATTAGAACACTGTCTAGGTACTTAAAAATCACAAACACCCCTTTCCCGAAGAGTACAGAGAACTGGGGTTGGGAGCTGTAGCAAAAACGTCAAAATTGTACAGGTTCAGCCTTAGGGATAACTTTCCCCTTGCCTTCTTTCAATCTTGACAACCTATTTCTCTTCCAGGAGATGACAGTCCATGAACAATTACTGTACTATCACCAGGTCTCACCTGTCAGCGATATATTTTGCAGGGAAAAATAGGACTGATAAACGTTAAATGTCATCGTGGAAATTTAAAGGAGAAATTTTGAAAAAAAATAAAAAGCAACCCAAAACCCCAAACAGGACATGCATGCACACGACCCAGGAGACAGCCCCTAGCAGGTGGAAAAGCAAAACCACTTTTTTTTGGTGTGCCAATCCCAGGACTAGATTTTTTTTTTTTCTTTTTTAAATGTTCTTGTCCCTTAACACTGGTATGACTAAAACTGATGTCGGCAGCCGGGGCTCTATTTATTCTTTCTCCAGTTGCATGAGTGAGATTTTTTTTTTCCCCCCAATTTCTTGTTGAAGCTTCCCCAGAAGGGGCTTCCCCTGAGAAGGGGGCTGAGCGATTCCTGCATGCACAGCAGGCGCGGGGTAGGGGGAGCGCCCTTGCAGCTTCTATGAATGAACTTAGGGAGATTTATTATTTAATTTTATTATTTTTTTTTTTTATGAATGGGAGCTCCGCAAGGCATGAATGGGCCGAGCTCTGCCACGCGATTGGTCGCGGAGGGCAAAGCTCCTCCCCCTTCCCGGGGGGCGGGGGCTCGGGGCGAGCCGGGATTGGCGGGCGTGCCCAGCACGGGGCTTCATTCATAAAAAAAAAAATTCGGTGGAACAAAGGAGCGGCGAGCGGGGCCCGAGCGAGCGGGGCCAATGGGCGGCCGCCCCCGGGCCCACGGGGGTCTGAGCGTGGGGTGGGGCCGCTCGGGGCCCCGCGTGGGCTGAGGGACTGCAGGGGAACCGACCCAACCCGAGCCTATCGGCCGGGTGGGGTTTCTGTCCCGGGGCGGAGGGGGGGGCTCGTCCCGGCAGCGGGGCTGGGGGGCTCGGTCCCGACTCGTGTCCCAAGTTTCGGCGCGGTCACCTCCTCCCCCGGGACGGCGGGAGAGCTCCGGTCGCGGTCCTGCCGAGGCTGCGGAGCGCGGGGACCCCTCCGGCCGGGCCGGCCCCCCCCGCCACCCGTCCCCGGTGCGCTCCCCCCCGGGCAGCATGAAGGGGTACCTGGACCAGCAGGTGCCTTTCACGTTCCCGCAGGTGAGTGACTGGGGGTCCACGCCGGGCTCCGCTGGGGCCGCGGGCTCCGCGCTGATCCCGTTCCTTCCGTAGCAGCCCCCCGGCCAGGCTGTGCTGGGAGCGGGGAAGATCCCCGGTGAGCCGGGCGTGCCGCCGCCGCAGGACTCGGAAGGTGAGAGGGGTCTGAGGGTGGAGGGGAGGGATGGGGATGGTGGAGGCGTCTGGGCAATGACCGGGTCCTCCCCCCGCGCCTCCGTCCCCACCTCCTCGTTCCGCCGGCACCGCCGGGGCTGGAGCAGCCCGGTGTCCCTCCCCAGTGCCCCGCTGAGGATCCTCTCCCTTCTCCTGCAGAGCTCTTCCAGGACTTGAGCCAGCTCCAGGAGACCTGGCTGACTGAAGGTGGGCTCCTTCCCCTTGCTCTCTTTGGTTTCGCTCGTCTCTTGAGTTGTTTGTCTTGCGAGGTTTGTGCTGCTCCTTCGCCGTGTTTGCCTGGCTCCAAACAAAAGTGGTTTTTTTTCGGACTTGCCAACCTCTGGCTTGAGTAAATGAAGACGCTGAATGACACCATTGTGCTGGGCATTTGCTTATGAATGGAACTTGGCTGCTGGCCCTCTTTCCTGGGTACAATTTTCGTTTCAGGCTACTTGCAACTGGTTCGATTTTATGCTAATTTGTCACTTATCTTTGTTGTTTGCCAGAACGTCGGTATTTTCTTAAACTAGAAAGTATTCTTTTAATTTGGGGAACAAAATACTTCTTTTTTTTTTTTTTTTAACTTTTTTGGGAACTTTCCGGAATTAACACAACTTTCAGATTGGTGTCTAAATTGTTTTGCCTTTGAACTTCAAGGAAAACTTCGAATTCCAAGGAGTCACATTAATTCTAAGTGAAACTAGTTTTAAACAGAGTGGTGAACTCACTCAATTCCAGTACTGTAGATGATCCATTTTCTAGAAAATTCAAAACATATCCTCATAGCATGTAGTCCAAGTGAAATCCTCGAGAAATTCAATATGTGCTTTAATATTCTAGCTTATGATTTCAGACCACAAATAGGAGAACTGGTTTCTGCCATGGTGAGTCCCATTTCCAGACTTATAACAATAAAAGTGACTCTGAAGCAAACCATCTTTGGTTTTTCTGTATTCACCTGTATGTCAAAATATTTTCCTGGATGGTGACAGGATTTTTATTAATGTCTTGTTCATGTCTCTGTGTGTAGCATTTGTTCATGAGGTGGAGGCAATAGATCACTTTAGAGTGCCTTCCTAAACAATGCAGAAGAAAAATCAAAAATATGAAATATGTTATTTATTCTCTTCCACATTTAGTTTAAAAATTTAGAAAATAAGCAATCAGTTGATGAATTTAAACCACATACACAATTGTATATGTGTCACTATATATATTTGTGTGGTTTTAATCATAGGGATATCTCTTTTTTATCTGACTATGTCTGACAGGTCCCTGTGCTGACTGTGAGGTGGAAACCCCCAGCTCTGGGTGTCCTTGGGCAGAACACAACCCCTCGTGCTCTGGCTCTTGAAAGCAGGGTGGGAAATGGGCGACCTGTGTCGATGCCTGAGCGACTGAAACAAGCCTGGTGTTGCTCTTTAAATGTCTGCCTAATTATCCCAGTTCTTTTTAAGTACAGGTGCTGGTTTGGGGAGAACAAGAAAACCTCTATCTGTATTGCAACTCTATGGAGTAGATAATGAATACAAAAATCGAAATTTTCTTCTGGCAACTTTCCCTTTAGCCTTCTGATACAGGTCTGTAGCTGCCTGCAAACATCACTGCCCAGCAGCGAGGCTGTGTTGTGCTCTCATTTCAGCCTTGCCCTTCATCTCACATCTCCTCTGTGGCCTATTGCTTTCAGCCTGTAATTCTCTTAATGAGATCCTCAGCAGTGCCACAGAGCCTCAGGGACACAGGCTGCAAAACCCAAACTCGGCTCACACACTGTGATCCCGCTCATTTCTTCTATTTCCACGTTGCTTTTTGAAGATAACTCATAGAATAAATTTTCTGGGTGGTTTTTTTCCCCCTCTGTTCCCCACCTTTTATTGTTTGCAGTTGCAGTTTGTTGTCACACAGGTCAGCGTGAAGAGCTTGGCCAGTTCCATTCTGATTCACTGCCTGTTAGTGTAGTGTTTGTTATTTCCTGAGGTTTATTTTTGGAGTGTCTTGTCTAGGTTGGCTTCAAGTGACTGAGATTAGTGGGCTTCCATTCCTTATGTCTTTTAACTTTGGCTAGGTCACCTTTGCTTTAGAGCTGAGGGAGTGCAATCTGTTGTAATCTCTGCCATAACAGAAATTGCAGGTTTGTCTTTTTGTCTATTTCTTTCAGCAATAGAGACAGACTTTATCAAATAACAATCTGCTGCAAGCTCTCCCTTCCCTGCACTAAAAGGGGTGTAAAAGCAATGGTTAGAAGTAATAAAATATTCTAACACAGTATGTGCAATGGTTAAGGTTCTCCCAGGACACACCACTGTTCATTAAGCCCAAAGGGAAACTATCCTTAGTCACTAAACTTATACCAGCAGAAAGCTCAGGTATTTCCTGCACAGACTTATTTCTGATGTAGTGTTAATTATACTGCACAAAGTGCCCAAACTAATTCTTTGCCCCCTCCCTCTCTCCCTCCCTCTCTCTCTCTCTCTCTCTCTCTCTCTGTCTCTCCTGACAGCTCAGGTTCCAGACAGTGATGAGCAGTTTGTGCCTGACTTTCATTCAGAAAACTGTAAGTAGCGTGGGGAAGATCACATGTCTCTGGGGACAAGGGCAAACTCAAATATTCCTGTGCTGATACCCCTCCTCTCTGTCCAGGGCATGAAAACTGAAATGAAACACTTTTACTGGTTGCTCTTTTTTACCTCCTTCTCCTGGACTTGGCCCTGCAGCACAGTTGGGCTTGGTCTCTGAGTCATATATCTTATTTCTTCCTCTTTTTGACCTGGAACTGAGGATGGTCCCATGTTTCACTCTGAGTGAATTCATGAGTCAGTTGTAATGTAATAGCCTTTTTCCAGCTCTTAGGGTCTGGAAAGCACTGGCTGCTCCTAACACATCCAGCTTCTTGAAATTCCCATGGAGGTCAGTGCAGTGGAGAGAGCAATTTATTTTTTTCCCCCCTCTGAGGGGGGAATTTTACAATCAGCATTTTTAGATGGATTGTATATATCTGTTTGCTCCGTGCATCGAAAAGGGTTGCTACAGACAGGGAAGTGGGTGCCCCACACACAGAAAGACTCTTTTCTCTTCTGGCCCTTCCCTGGGCCTGCAGTGTTTGCACAGATGCAGGAGTGTCATGCTCAGAACACTGAATCCATCCCAGGTGTGGTCTTTTCCACAGAAAGCCTTAAACTTTTGCAATCACTGTGGCTACAAAAACCTTGCATTTATTTTCCTCCTGTACTATCAGGACATCTCCAATGTGTCATCATGTTAGTGTATTATAATTTAATGCAATGCTACATGTTAATACTACTGCTCACAAGACATGGCAAAGAAAGACCACTTTGCATGATGCAAATCAAAACTTTGCCTTTATGTTTTAAGGCTTGATGACAAACTTCACTAAATCAAGGGCAGTGCTCAGGGAGGTCCAGTGAGCAGCTGTGCATTGTCGGTGTTTTGTTTCTTTCAGAGCCACCTGAACAAGGACAAGGTGGCGGCATCTCCACTGACCCTTCATCGTAGCTCTCCATAAAGAGGAAAAGTGTCAACCTGATCTTTCCTTTCCCTCCCACAGTAGCTTTCCACAGTCCTCCTGCTCGGATCAAAAAGGAGCCGCAGAGCCCCACCCTGTCCTGCAGCCACGAGCAGCTGTTCCAGCCCCACAGCGAGCAGTGCCTTTACACCAGGTAAGGTGGCTGAACAGGGGAGGGACAGGAGCTGTTCTGAAACAAAGTGCCGCTGGATTATCTAAATAACAGGGTGTATGACAACAGCCCCATGGGTGGGTCAGCTCACCCTGCCAGTTGCTGCTCTGGGCAGCTCAGACCTGAGCAGGGTAGGTCTGGGTTTGCTTCTTTTTTCTTCCCCCTGGTGCTGCCCCTCGTCTGTCTTCATGCTCAGCGCAATCTTGGCATCTACCACATCTCTCCCCCTTGCTTTCCACAATCTGTTCCACACCTGACACCACTGCCAAGCCCTTGCCTGAGCTGTAGTGTGGCTTCTTCAGCCCAGACACCTTTCCCTGGTTTTCTACTTGAAGGGTTGTTGCTGTTGTGTGTGTGGGGTCAGCTGACAATCAGAGGGCAGGGTGTTTAATGCTGGGAGTTTTGTCAGCCCAGGTGGCTGCACAGAGGGACAGCATGTTTGCCTTTGATAAATTGTTCCCAGGTGCTGCCACAAGTCCTTCTAGGAGAGCTGTAATGCTCCAATATCTGTTTGTACTGTTCCAGTGCCTACGATCAACCCAGACGAGTTGGAATCAAGTCCCCCAGCCCAGGAATCCTGACACAGTCACCACTCCCACAGTTCCCTGGACAGGACAGGAGCTTCCCGACCCCTGTGGGGCCACCCCACTCCACATCCAGCTGTGGATACCTCAATGAAAACAGGTGAGTCGCTGCCAGGAGGAGGCAGCCACTGGCAAAGAGGGATTGCTCTCCTTGGGGATTCAGGGAGGAAGGGCTGCAGCATCCAGATGGAAGTGTTCTGTTTCCATGGGATCCAGTGCTGCTGCCTAGGGTTTGAAGTCCTTAACCTTAACCTTAACCCTGCTGGATTCTGTGAATGATGGGCTTGGAAACATCCTTCACTGGGGTGCCTTCCTTGCCCCAGCTGTGAGTGAGCTCTTACAGCCCTAGTAAGAGGCTGAGGAAGTTTCTGTCCCTCCACCAGGGCTGAAACCAAGAAAGCAGCCATCTCATGTCCTCTCCCTTCTTCTAGCTCTGCCTATCAGCCACCTGGGGAGATGTGCCATTCTTTCCCCTCCTCCCAAGGCATGGCCCAGGAAGACCCCATTGCCTACCAGTGCCAGCTGTCCAAGCCCTCATGGGGCTTCAAACAGGAGCACCATGACCCACGATACGAGCAAGAAAGCCAGGCAGGCTCCAGCAGCCACCAGTACCCAGCAGCTGTGGTGGTCAAGCAGGAGCAGGTGGACTACATGTACGACTCAGGTAGGCAGAACGAGCTCTTTCTGACTGCATAAATCAGGCATCAGTGGGAGTGAGCAACTCCTGGGTGAACATCCACCACTGGTGGCCTCTGGGCTTTGAAACAGTTCTTCAGGAGCATGTGTGGGTCTGGGAAACTGGCCTGGGTAACTGGCTGTGTAGTAGGAAACTTAAACAGTTCTGTCTGGTCACTGCATCCAAGATAAAGCTGGGACATGCACCTTCCATGCCACGTTCTGAGAAAGACCTTCTGGTAGGTAGTTGAAAGCTTTAGTAAGATAGGAGGTAGAAGGTGATGTTAAATCCGTTCAAACTAGATTAAAGATTAACCCACTCAATCCATCAGAAATTGAGCAAAGGGTGTTTACAGTTTCACAGAGAGTGTTTGTCTTCAGGGGGATGTGTGATGTGAGCTGGTAGGTTGCAGAAAAGAAGTGAGGTCAGCTTTGAGAAAATCATACTGAAAACATGCTGTAAATGGCAGCAGAAAGGAAGGAATCAAATATGTTGGAGCTTGGACAGAAAAACTGTCTTGGATTCCTTCTGGTTTCCTGGTATTTTAATAGACATCTTGAATTGTTTCCTTTAGCAGAAATAAATACATAAATAAAAAGCTCCTATGAGGGTACAAAAACCTGATATTACACTTTCACTGGGTAATTCTGTGCAGACAGGGGAAGAAAATGCAAACCCAGAAGAATGTTGTTTTTTTTTTGTGAGAGTTTATGATTTTAATAAGACCCACTCTGTCAGCTCAGAGTACTCTTCCCTTGGCATCAGCAAAATATCTGCTGAAAGCCATGGTTGTACAGAGGAGTGTGAGGGAAACACAAGATAAATCTTCCCACAGCTCCCAGTTACAGCTTCCATTTCAGCTGTGGATAGAAAATAGATTAGATTCAGAAAACACAAGATACAGAAGACACAAATTGCAGTGTGCAGGCAGCAATGTGCACTACAGAGATCATGGAAAGCCTTTCTGCTTGTTTTTAAACTCAGCCTGTTTTTTTCTCTTTTTGTTTTCTCAACTGTTCGTGAGGATGCCCCTCACGATGCGAAAAAGCCAGGGAGACTTGGGACATCTGAAATGACATTTGTGAGACATTGCAGGAACATTCAGATGCTACTGCTCTCTGTTTAGATTATCATACTACCCCTTGGAAAATGCAATGCCTTCTTACCTGGGAAAAACAGCAGCAGAGTGTGTAGTTATCTTAAATAAGATGAGGGAGAGGTGTTATTCAAACCTAGCCTGTTGTCCAAGATTTTGAATGAAGAGTGGTGTAGAGGTGACAGGCTGGTTATCCTGGCTACTCTGAAGGATGTTGTGTGACAGTGCCACAAAAACTTACCCCTGTAATGAATGATTAGAAAGATGATGCAGATGAAGTTGTAGTTACCTTTGTGACATTAACCCTTTAGGAGGGCCCTAAGAGGATGTTGGTTAGACAGCTGCACTCACCTGTCCCCCTCTGGAGAGCAAGATCTTTCTTCCACCTGTGTTTTTTTAATAAATGAGCTTGTTAATTGTTCTGTAGATGTTCCTGACTGTGCTTCCATGTACATAAATGTTGAGAGCTATCCAAGCCATTCAAACACAGAAGACACATTGGGTAAGAAAAGCAGTGACCATCATCTTTTCCCTGCATGGAACTGTCCTCTGGTACTATCCTGGCTGGCTGTGACTGCTGGTTTTGCTTTCTCTTTCAGGTTGCAGCTACAACAAGCAGATGAAGTCCTTTACTGATGATGTCTGCGTTGTTCCAGAGAAATTTGAAGGTTGGAGAAAGGCTCACAGTTGTAAGATAGGGTTACCCAGCATCTTTCCCAGCCACCTGAGCAGTGTCCACATAGTTCATTATACTGAGTTCTTGAAAGCTGTGGTTCATATCAGCTTTTCAGTGTTCCAACCCTTGGGCTGTCTTAGCAGCAAACAGCATAAGTAGCTTAATTGTGAGGTTCATCAGAGCTGCTTTTGCTTTTTGCTTGTGAATTGGCCACTCTGTTTCACGTGAACTGAAATACTCCACGTAAACATTAAATGTGCCTTTTCTTTTTTTTTTTTTTTTTTTTTTTGTTTTTCCCTAATTTTCCCCAATGGTTTTTGCACTGCTGTCCTTAGAAACATCTTGTTTGTTCTCAGCAGCAGACATCAAGCAGGAAGCTGGAGGATACCGGGAAGGACCTCCATACCAAAGGCGGGGATCTCTCCAGCTCTGGCAATTCCTTGTGGCTCTGTTGGATGACCCGACCAATTCCCACTTCATTGCCTGGACTGGCAGAGGGATGGAGTTCAAGCTGATTGAGCCAGAAGAGGTGAAACCATGGAGTTTGTGACAGGCTGAGGGGGAAGCAGCCACTGTTTCTGGGGCTGCAAATTCCCAAGTGGCTTTTCCTCTTTCCTGTGAAGTTTCTGCCTACCTGGGGGTACTCTGCAGACCCTGCAGCAAGTCAAGGTTTTTAGAAGAGGTCAGAAACACTTGGGTGACAAATATCAGGTTTAAGGAAGGCTGCTTGTGTGTAAGTTTAGACTCTCAGCTATGCAGTGAGTCAAATTGCCCACTGCCTTCACCTCCCTAGATACTTGAATCTCAAGCTTGCAGTGACCTGTGCTGTCTTACCTTGCTCTACACCTGAGGCTCACATCGAGGTTTGGAGTTTTGAATCCTACTGATTGCAGAACTCCTCATAAGAATCTGGAAGAAAATATGTCCTAGTCTATATCAAAGTGACATTACCAAGGTGTAATTTCTAATGCTACCATGTTCCAAAAACCACAGTGGTGCCTGACAGCATCCAGGAGATGTGTCTATAATATCTGCTCACATCTTGTTTCAATTAGAGCTGCACTGAGCACTGTTCTTGCTATATATCAACTTTTATGGGCACTCTCAGTGCAGATGAATTATTTTGGTGGGTTATCTGTGATCCGGAGTGCTTCAGCTTCAGTTCTACTCTTGTAAAGCTGCTAAATTATTGATGAGCCCGTTATTTAAACATGTTTGTATGTGTGTTGTGGTATCATTCCTCAAAAGAGAACCAGCTGGGGAATGTTCTTTTGCCCCTGGGTTGGGTTCACAGACGTTTCCACACACTTTGATGTTTTGTCCTGCAGGTGGCCAGGCTGTGGGGGATCCAAAAGAACCGTCCAGCCATGAACTATGACAAGCTGAGCCGATCCCTTCGCTACTATTACGAAAAAGGCATCATGCAGAAGGTCAGTTTGCAAAGCAGGAGGGGACTGTGACTTAAGTTGATGCTTCTCCTGTCTGAGACAGGTACAGAATGTCCTTGAGCGAGCCAGGCACCCCAAGCTTTCTCTCCCCACAATCTCTCTTTGCAGCTGTTAAACAGGGAAGCTGGGAAGGAGCTGAATGCAGGCAATGTATGAGAAATAAAACAAAGGGGAATCGTGATTTCTTTTTCTGTGTATGTCTGCAGTCAGGAAAGTTGGAAATTATGCAGCTGAAAGGAGATATAATCAGTCTAGACTTGCTTTTGTGAGAGAAAGGCTGCCCGAGGCTTTGTCCTGTGTAGTAGGGATGGTCTGTGCCAGATCCAGGGCACCTAAGAGATAAGAAGGAGTGCAACTATCACAGTACAGGCTGCTCAGGGACTGCTGATGCTGTTGTTACCTGGGCAAAGAGTCAGCTGGCAGCATCCCATTTCCCAGGAGCTGTTCCAGGGGAGACCAGGGCAGCAGGGAGACAAGCACGAGGAGATTACGTTTACAACTCTGCCACCACTCGGACGTTTTTGCGAGCCTTTCTGGGGCATCGAGGAGCTGCCTGTGGGCCTGCAGCCTTCACCTCACCCCCTCTCTTCCCTGCAGGTGGCTGGGGAGCGCTACGTGTACAAGTTTGTGTGTGAGCCCGAGGCTTTGTTCTCGCTGGCCTTCCCCGACAACCAGCGGCCGGCGCTGAAGGCAGAGTTCGAGCGGCAGATCAGCGAGGAGGACACGGTGCCCCTCTCTCACCTGGATGAAAATGCCACTTACCTGCCAGACTTTGGGAGCTTCCCTCCACAGCTTTACAGCAAGGGCTACACGTACTAGCCCTGGTGACAGCACGGTGCTGTGGATGTTGGTTCCATACGTGGCTGTGGGTAGGAGGTAGCTGGTTAAGTGGTCAGGTGGTATCAGCATTTTTTCAGGCCAGCACTAAGCTATGAATACCTGCGTTGGTCAGGACAATGTTCAGGTGCACGTGTGGATGATCACCTCTCAGCAGTGTGCCTGTGATTAGACCCCTCCTGTGTGTCAGGACGGGACACATCCTTAGCCATGCAGACACATCTTCCAAGCAGTGGAGCTGCAGCTTCAGCAGCACCGGTGCCTCCAGCTGGATCAAACACCCTGGTGCAGCCCCTCTCGTTGGAGAGGGAGGGGATGCTGTCCCACTGGGCTTTTTTTTCAGGTATGAGAATGCTGCAAGGCTGCTGCTGACTCTATTCCTCCAGTTCATGTGCTGAACCTCTGTGGAACCTGCCCTCAGCTCTGACCACAGGGACTCACCTCTGGAAGGCCAGTCTTGCCTTCCCAGGATGGCTGCAGGGTGGTGGTCACAGATCTTATAGTGAATGTGCCTGCTCCTGCCTGTGATCACCTCCTTGCTCATTCTAGGGCTTTCTGGTATTCAGGCACTCTGAGCAGGGGCGCTGGAAGCACTGGCCAGGGTTAGAGCAGTCCTGGAGAACACAACACACCACCATTCAGGGGAACTGGAGAGGTGCCTGATTGCATTGGTCTGACACAGGTCAGAACCATGGCCAGTTAGAGGGATTGTGGGAAGCAGCAAGGCCTGAGACACCAGATTTTCCAAACCGAACCACTTCTTCAACAAACATCCTCAGGATCTTTCAAGACCTGTCAGGCTCTTGAGTGTGCCCATCCTGGGCTTGGCCAGAAAATCACCCGAGGCAAGACAAGAACCTGGTGGAAGGTGTGATAAAAATGCTGTACAAAGTAACCTAAACCATACATAGATCTTAATATTGGAATTCAGTCTTGAACTCCACAAATCTTTGCATGTTTGAGGGGAAATCCTGGTATGTTGAAAAGGCAGCTCCCTCTGCAGGACTGACAGGTTTTCCCCAACAGTGAACATTTATAATGAGTACCACATCCTTATTAAGAGATGTCTTTAATTTAGCAGCTCCAACCACGTTCCCAATTAGACAAGGAGCAGTACAGTGTACCCATACAGAAAAAAACTTGTTTCCTACTGCTTCATAATGATTTTTCAGCTGCTGAATACAGAGCATTGCCAACCCCACCAGCACGGTAGCCTGTGGAGAAAATTCTGCATATTGACTGAAAGCCTGATTTCCCCCAGTGACTCTCCCCTGCATGGCTAATGCCAACCCTCCCAGCCTTGTCCCCGAGCAAGAGAGCCATGAAAGGCAGCACTCCCTGCCTGAGGAGAGGCCAGATGCTCAGAGCAGCCTGTCCTGGGTTCTGTGCACTCCAGAGACTTGGTGTTCTGGCAGCTCCTGCCCCTCCTGCCCTGCCCTGTGCCCACCCACCCACCCACCCAGCATCCCAGAAGCGAGGGTGAAGAACCACCCTTGGCTATAAGCTGCCTTTACTATTTATGAGTGTAAAAATACTATAATTAATAAATTGGTCTACATCTTTTGGCCAGTGCAACTTCATTGAGCCCCTGACTGGTCCTCCCTTCCCTCCTGAGCTTGCTTTTGCACAGCTCCTTGGCTTGGCACCAGCTTGCAGCTTTGGGCAGCTGATCCAGAGGGCTCAGGGGTGCATGTTTACTTCTGAATCGTGATGGGAGTTCAAGAAACGAACACTCTGCTCCCTTGACACGCTCACAGGACCAGGCCTGAAAGATCACAGTGAAATATGTGACCTCCAGCTGCACCTGGTGTCAGGGGAACAGTTCTCTGCAGCTGCAGAGAGCACCTCCCACGCTCCACACTGAGCCAAGCTCCACGGTTTTAATCAGCTTTTTCCCTGAATTTCAGCTCTGCCTCATGCAGCAGCACTTCCAGGGGAAGTGAGCAGGTGCTCACAAGTGTTTAGCTAGACTGAGAGGCAGCTGACAGGGTGGAGGTAAAGAGAGAAGTCATAATTTTCTCCTGATGGTCCTGGAAATGGCCAGGAGCTTCCAGAAGGAAGATAAGCAGCTCCCACACAACCCTATATAAAATAATCCCATGGGGGTTTCCATTAGCCAGAGACTGAGGAAGAACTTGTGCTTTGACTCTGACAGTCCAAACATACAGTTTGTGGTTTTTTTTAACTTTATGAAGATGTAGCATCATAGGAAAGCTCAGGACATTTAACAACATCCCTTTGTACAGATAGATATTTCCAATATAGCTACTTTTCAATGTGAAACATTCTTCCAACTTACTTTGTATAAACAACCAGCCAACCTCATCCTCCTCGATTCAGCAGTAATTTTAGCAAATGTCCCAGCTTTGGGAAAAAAATTAAGAGTTTCTGGAGCTATGGAGTCAAATAAGTTCCATCTGTTAGCAAAGCAAAAATAATTTACAGGTAGTTTTGGCATGACTTAGCACACGCTGGGCAGTCAACTTCTTTTTAAACAAGAAACTTATGCAACTTTTTACAGACGTCTTACCTGTAAGAGCACAGTCTATTGAAAAAACCAACAGTTGTGATGTCAACATCCTAAGTGAAAATAAAACACATGGCACACTGTATAGGAAGTTCTAAACATCTGTAACCACTTCTCAGATAGGGCCATGCTGCAGAGGTGATGTGCTAATTACTCCCTGACATACCAGCCTTCAGCACCCAGGAGATGGGGATGAAGGATAAGATTTGCAATCCAACTTCTGCCATTGTCCAAATATAACTGACATTCTAGCTGGGTTTCTAGAGGTTTTTCCTGCCTTATCCCAAAGCCACAGATCCTAAGTTATCTGATAGGCTGATGAAAAGAAAAATAGTTACAATGAAAATGCATATAATAGGAAAAAATGGAAAACAAGTAGCTCCCAAAAAGCAGCCACTGTCCGAGAGTGTAAATAGAAATAAATTTCTTTTAGCAGAGTAAAGAAACAAACTATTCCAGCCTCTACACGTCTGGTGACTCAGAAACTGGGTTGGTGAACAGCCAGTTTTTAATCACCATCTTTTTGTTGTTGTTCAGCTGAGTGCCCAGACTCCCAAGTCTTAGGTTTTGTCTGTTAAGTGGTGAATGACCACTGAAGTGCTCCGAGACCCCGTTCTGAGAGGCCTGACAGTCCTGTGGAGCTGCAGCACATCTGTGCCACAGCTGGGGCACTCCCTGCTCTGCCAGGGCTCATTACCTGCTCGTGGCACAGGTGAGCTTCAGGGGAATGTCCTGTCCTCCAGGACACTGGCAACGATGACAGAGTCACAGTCCCACAAAAAAAAACCCAGCCAGAGTTTGGTAGAGGGAACTCATCGGCGCCTGAAGGCGCGGGATATCCTCCAGGCGTTGGGCTCCTCGTAGCGGTTGTACAGCGGCTCCAGGCGCTGCTGCTTCTTCTGCTTGCTCAGCTTGGTGGGGTCAGAAACCTTGAAGAAAGCTGGAGCAAATTCCACCAGCCAGCGAGGGTCGATAGTCGTCACTTCCCGCATGTACTCCTTGGTGGTCAGCACCAGCTCGTGATACACCACCCTGTGGGGAGGGACGGAGACTCTGGGAATCGGTTTTTCCAAACAAGAAGCAACAACTCAACAGCTGGAGCTCTGAGCTTGCTCCTTTATCTCCTTCAGCATAAGGCTCCTTATAAGCTCCAATGCAGGCTTCAAAAGGACCATCCAGAGGAGCTATCCTTATTTCCCTCCTCCTACTTCACAACTATTCAGCACAGAATTCCTTCATTCCATTTAAAACAAACCCTTTTTCCCCTCTTCAGCACTCACAGTGTTCTAAACTCAATTTCACAACACAGAAAAACGGAACTGCAGATTTCAGGCCTGGCCTTGGCTCCCAAAGTCAAGTCTCATCTCTGCAGAGACACTAAGTTTAGCAGCAGAAAGAGCCAAAAGTAGACTTGAAACTTTCCTCACTCTGCCCACTGCTGAGAAATCAGCAACCTCTGCTCAGATCTGTACCCCACAAACAGTGCACACTGCACACTTTCTCTGTTACAAAGTCTGAAAAGAAACAGGAAACTCCATGCTATTGCCTTCCTTACCATTCTGGCTGCCTGTTGAAGAGAGCACTGGATGGGTGGATGTAGACGACTTGCTGGTCAATGAGTGTCCGATAACCTTCCTGGGGATCCTTCTTTGCTGCATTCCGGAAGAAGCCACTACAGATGGCCTTCTGGACCCGAACTGTTGCCTTCCCACAGGATACCACATCCAGCTTGTGCCTGCCAGGCAAGAGCCAGAGAGATGAAAGTCAGGGTTCTCCGGATTTGGGCGCAGCTGCCAACATCAGGTTACCAAAATTTTATTGCAACGTAAGAACAATAAGAAACAAAGTCACTCTTTGTCCTCCTTGACATGCTCACCTGTCCATGATGCCCAACATCTGCTTGCGAATGTCCTGCGCCCTGCGTAAGGATCGGGCCTGGATGAAGTTTTCGTAGCACCAGGGGTTTGAAAACTTATTATTCTTCCACGAATTGTACACAGCCAGCAGGGTGAGGTGGTCACCTTCTGTCTGATGGAACTTGGCTTTCTTTTGATCAGCGAGCGCTTGTTTGTCCTAACACATAAAACACACATGGATCAGGTATCTGCACTGCAGAGACAATCCTGGTGCAACACAAATGACATCAGGGCCTTGTCACTCATACCATGACATCTAAATCTACCAACAGATGACACAAAATGTTGAGGGGTCAGTGACTAAGGACCAGGAGATGAAAATCTAAAGGTCACTGGGACTGGTCTAAGGCAAAACAATGCCTTTATGAAAGGAAAGCCTAGAACTGTCCTTGTCAAAGAGAGACCTCATGCAGACTCTCCCGTGGGTGACAAGGACCTGACCACAAAAGATGAACAGTTGTGTTTTTTTTAATTTAAACATTTTATTCCATTTCAGTACCTATTTTTGAAATCAAAGGAAATGGCTCATTTATCTGAACTCCAGAGCTGGGACTGTCTTGCTTTAGGCTTCATGTGTTTATTGGAAAAGGCAAAAGATAATGTTAAGACTTCTCACTTCTACCTTCCCATCTGCAAAGAAACTACCAACATCACAGCCTAGAGGCCCTTAAACCAAAAGGCATATAGGGGAGGTAACACATGAGCAAATGGTCTGACCAAGTTACAGGCTTCTTTTGGCAACTCTGCTCACACCAAACCCCCTCAGACTGTCCCACTGCTGCCTCTTGCCTCAGTTGCCTCACCTTTGGCCTGTAAAACACGTTCTGCACAGACAGCATGGAGACGATCGTCAGCATTTCCTCGCTGCATCCCAGATGGACAGACATGATCAACATCTTACACAGCATGGGCTCCAAGGGGAATTCTGCCATCTGCAAGAAAGATGTTTTCATGTTTCAACACTCAAAGTCTTGAGTCTTCTCAGTGCAAAAGAAAGCAATGCCTTTTCTTGCATACTTACTTTCCAAAGCAGTGTGCCTGACCCGGAATAACTTTGAAGCATGAAGCAAATTATTTGCCTGTATTTACTGTCACAAGAATATCCCAACACTTACAGGAAATTTTTAGACATTAATAAAAGTAACCTCATGAACGAGGAGTAATAATAGTTGCTCCTTAAAAGGCAGAAGGTATGTAATTGTGGTAAATGAAGAGCTACCAACAAAACACAAGAGAATAACAGGAGAAGGAAACCAACAGTGCTAGGCAAGGCCTGATACAACCACTGTGTCATCCCCTGAATATTGGCAGTACAGACAGTGCTAAAAGGTATTTTATTTGGCCTACCCTGCGCCCAAGTCGAGTGAGCAGTCCCTCGTCATCCAGAGCTCCCAGGGTGTAGAGCTGCTCCATGGCAGTTATGAGAGTTTCCATGGGGGGAGCATCCATGAAGTCAAAGGACAGCAAATCGTTGATGCCCATGGCCTGAAGAGAGGGAGGGGAGACAGCCCAAGGTAAAACACGGAGAAGGAAGACACCAAACTCCTGGCAGAGATTCAATGCCATCAAACACTGAGGCACTACGGAACTTTTAACCAACCCTGGCCTCACATACCTTCAGGGAAAGCACTGTACTGGCCAAATTTGTTCTCTGGATTTCAGGCACGTTGGTGGTTAGCATTTCATCTCGATATGCACGCTCTGTGTATAACCTGTAGCATTTTCCTGGGCCTGTTCTGCCAGCCCTCCCTGCTCGCTGCTTTGCTTGAGCCTAAAGGTTTAACAAGGCATGAACAGATGCAAACAGGCACAGGTGAAAAGAAGTACAATGAAGTGATTAATTCTCCACAGTTTTACTTGTAGTAATAGAAAGATTTTCAGTGCAGTACAGGAAAGTGTGCATTCCTTAGGCACAGCCTCAAGGAGTTATCAAAAAATGTGGTTTTATCCTCGCCTCACTTTGCCCCTCCATGTTCTTGGATGTCACATTGGCAAGCACAGAATGTCTACCTGTGAAATGGGTGTCACCACCAGCTGGTCAATTCCAGTCTTGGAGTTGTAAACTTTCTGCTTCACAAAGCCAGGATCGACGACATAATATATTCCATCAATGGTCAAAGACGTCTCCGCAATGTTGGTGGCAATGACAACCTGTTTAAACCACAGTTTAAGTCAGCACAAGGTTTGTGGCAGGTTGCCAAGCCAACCACACAGGTACACAACCAAAAATATGCTCTAAGCTGTAAGGTATCTTTTCTCCAAAGCTATACAATTTAAGCAGTGTAACACACCCCACTATTGAAATGCATCAGCAGAAGATGAAGGCACATGTACATGAAATTACCTTTCTGCTTCCTGGTGGGGCGGGGTCAAAGATCCTGGTTTGCATTTCACTGGGTAAAGCTGAATATACTGGGAGGATAATTAACTCTGGAACATCAGGTCCTAGAGATTTCATCCTTTCATAGAGGATTTCACAGGCAGTGTCAATCTCTTCCTGACCAGTCAGAAACACCAAAATGTCACCTACACAGGAAATAAATTAAAAACACCCACAGAATCAAATCTGTTTAGTATTAACATATTTCCATTCCTCACCCTTTCCACTTAAAGCAGAGGATCTCCAACTTTTG